CTCAGGGGAAGAGTGGAGCCTGTTTGGTGACCACCACTCTTCTGCTGCCTCTGACATGCAGTGATGGCTGTCATGTCACTGGAAGCTAGCCCACTGATGTTTCCAATACCAGGGGTTTGGTCACCCAAGGGGGCCAGGTTTCAGTGCAGCTTCTTGACAGATTAGGAAGACATGGGGATCCACTGCCCAGAACTAGCCAAGAGAACCCCTGGTGGCCACAACAGAGGGCCCATGTACACAGGGCCGACCCCACAGTTTCAGCCTCCACCCCACTCCTGGCACTGCGGGACTCCACAGAGCCTGGAGTCTCCATGGTGCTCTCTTAGGGCAAGTTCCAAATGCAAGGGACATTCCCGGCACTGGTGATGCTGTCCCTGATGCTTCCAGAGGACTTTGCTAAGATCTGGAGGGAGGCTACCACCTCACACCTGCTTCTGGGGACGCATAATAGCAGCTAGCCCGTGCCATGCTTTGTTCTGGCAACCATATTATTGCCTCGGGTTAGTCCAGGGGTGCCCATCTGCTCCGGGACAGGTGATGGCCCAGAAAGCCCTCAGGCAGCTCTGCTCTGCGACATTGTCATGAGCTGGAAGTCACTCACAGAGGGTAACCTCCATGTTATCCTCAGAGGTTCGCAGAGGTGAAGGGACCTGCCCTACAGGGGAAAGCAGGCCACCTCCGCCCCTCAAGGGAAACACTATCATCTCATGACCCCTGGCGTCCACCCTTCCTTCCCTACACCACCCTCCACCTCCAGAAGCCACTAGCAGTTACTTTCTCCTTCCCAGACGGGGAGGCACATTGGAAGGTCCCAGGTGGGCGTGACAAAGAACTGTACCCCATAAAAAGGTGGCTGTAAGTCCTACACGGGTGGTTCTAAACCCACGTGGGAATGAGAATCACAACACAACAGGATGAGTATGGGTGGGTCTGGGGCCAAACCCTCCTCAAGACAAAAGATGAAACAAGCAAAATACGAGATGCGATGATGAGGTCATTCGGAGTCAAGAGGCCCTGAGGAGCCAGGAAGCTGAAGCCAAAGGGACTAAGACCTTCTCCCAGAGCCCACAAAGAGAGGGTCCTCCCCCTAGAACCTGAGCCCCCAACCCTGCCTTCTGACTGGGAAGTATGCTGTGTGTGTCAAAACCACCCTGCAGCAAGCAGAGAGGTGGTGTGGCTGCAGGGGCCAAGGCAGGTTCTCGGCCTGCCTTTCTTTACCCCGATGGTGGACACCAAGCGGGTGGACTGGCAGAAGACGGGGCTGGGGAGACAGGAACACACCTGCGGCCCCTCCCCAGCCTCTCTTCTAATCACAACCAGCTTCCCTAGGGAGCACAGCAAAGTCAGCAGGGAGGGTCCTGGGCAGGTCTCTGGTAGAGACAGTTGCTATGGATACTGTTTCTCAGGCAACCAGGTGAAAAGGAGTCCAAAGTGGGGCCAAGTAGCTTCGGTTTGGCCCTGAGACTAGAGCCAGCCACAACGCAACCCCCTTCCCTGCAAAGGACCCTGGGGATGCCAAGTCCTCTCCCTGCTCCCTGGCTGAAGGGTAGACCCCCCCTGGTGCCAAATCCCACCTCTCTCACCGACTTCCTTCCTCTGGGTCTTAAAGAAACTCCTTTGACTTGGGACCTGGGTTTTCAGGGGTGGGTGGTGGCGGCAAAGTCTGGGGCCCAGAAGTATTTGTCTCCATGAAAGGCTGACCCACAGGAGCTCTGCCACCTTTGGGCTGCAGCCTACAGCCAGGTCCCAGTGACAAGGCAGCTCAAGACAAAGTATCACTGGAGCCCCCGGGCACCCCATCACCCACTCCTGGAAGCGCCTTACCCAGAGCCCTCCAGCAACCGAGGGAGGACTCAGTAAAGGCCGGTGCTCCACTTCCCCAAAAACCAGCCGGTGCTAAAGCTCCACTCGCTGCCCTGCCAGGCAGTCCCCTCTGTCCAACAGGGGGCTCTGTGCTGGCTCCCACTGCCTGGCCCACAGCTGGACACCGAGGTCCCCCCCTTTGCAGAACATGCTGATGAGGCAGAAAGGGGTACACAGCACACTGCCCAGGGCCACTCAGGGTGCCAGTTCCCCTCCTACATGCAGGGTGGACCCAAACCTGAAGAGGCAACTGAGGCTGCACGCCAGCCCCCAAGATGTCCACAGCAGAGGACATCCGGGACCATGGCTGCCGACAGGACCAAGGACCCTGTAACAGGGAGGTGGGAGGTCAGAGCTGGAAACAAGCCATAATGTAAAGATTGAGACAACAGGTTGAGGTGATGGGAAGAGGGGGCTGTGCGCCAAGAATGCAGGCAGCTCTCGGAAGCTGCAACAGGCAGGGAGACAGACCCCCGCCCCCAGTGCAGCACTAACATGAAGATCCCCAAACCAGTCACGCATGTGGGTCAGCTGGTGCAGCTCTGCGTGGGGCCTTCTAGGACTCAGGCTACAAGTGCTACAGCCACTGGAATCGTGGAGAGCAGTGAGGGGAGGGCAGGGGCTTGAGAGCTCTGGGCTGACACGTGGCCGGCCGGTGATCGGCATACCCTGCCCTTTCCTCCCTGCCAGGCTGGTGTTGGCCTCCTACCCTTATTTACTGGGACACCCACCCTCAGCCCTGACCCCAGGGTCACGCCCTTGGCTTCTGACCATAAGTATTTCCATAGCCCAGGTAGGTGACCACATGATGGGGTGTGGGGACCATGTGCGGACGGGAGGGTCCTGCCCTTGCCGTCTTAGTGGGGGGAACACAAACACACCTCACACCATTGGTCTGCAAGGCAGGCATGGGAAAGGCAGGGGCAGAAGCAGGATCAACCTGAGCTGACCAGTGTGCTCGGCTTTCCCCACAGCCACTCCTCATGGTGCAATGGGTGCCACTCTGGGCTGCAAACTGCAAGGCCAGGGGTTTGAGCTCAAGGGGCTCTCCACGGGAAGCATAAGGCTGTCTGCCTGTCCCTGCAAAGACTGACAGCCTATGGCTGGTCGGCACTGGGGGGGGGGCCCCCCCGCCCGCGCGCAACTGAGTTGCAAACACTGTCATTTGCCAGGGGTCGGACCAGCCGGTTCTGACCCAGGCCAGGCCCATCTGTTGTACACCTGGCTGGGAGGTGGTAGTAAGAACCCCAGGAGGGCAGTGGGCATGGTGGCTTCCTGAGAGCTCACCCAGGGGCAGGGGCCCTAACAACTTGAGAGGAGCCAGGGTTGCATGCTCCTGCTAACAGCGTGGCTGTGCTGCAGAGCCCCTGGCCCCTGAAACCCCACCCGCCAGCTGTGCCTGGGCCTCCCCCTGATCCCCAGCTGCTAGCAGGAGCTGTTGCCAGGTGCTCTGGGCCCCCAGAGAACCACCCCCACTCCCCCTCTCATCAAAGAGCCAAGGCTGATGCAACCTGCCTGCAAGAGCCGCCTCACTCTCCAAGCCAGGCCCCTCCGCCCTGAAAAAGAGTCCCCATCAGCCCCACCCAGGCTTTCCGAGGTCATGGTCTTTGTGGACGCAGAGCTGCAGGGTGAGCTTCACCTGCTGACCTTACCAATGGTACCGACCTGGGTTCCTGAAAACCCAACCCAGAAAAAAGGAGTGGGGTCGGCCAGGGAAGGGCACCCTAAATCTGTAGTGGGAACCCACAGGATGTCCCTTCCCAGCCTGGAGCTGTAGTGTCTTACCAGAGGGAGAAAATTGTCCCTCCTTTGCCCTGCAAGTGGGTGGGACCCGTGGAAAGTGACCTAAGAAAGCCCCCAGGTGGTGTCCTTCCTTGCTCCAGGAGCTAGTGGGCCACAGGCAGAGGTGGGAAGAGGCGGCCAACAGTTTGGCCCCAGCCTGCAGTGGCCTGGAAAGTGGGGAAGGGGGTGGCTAAGGAGGAGCACCGGCCTACCTGCCTTTTATTTAAGCCAGTATTCTTAGTTTTTTGCTTGTAATACATTTTTGTTAATAAGTTAAAAACAAAAACAAAACAGAACCCCAAACCCCCAACCCAAACCACTGGCTGCTATCGAGTCCATTCCAGCTCACGGCGGCTCAGCAGATACCTGCCCCATGGCGGTATGTCACCCCGCAGAAGCAACGGCCACAGTTTCCTCCCTTGGGGCAGCAGGGGTGTCCTTCCCCATTTAAAGGGCCCATAGTTCCAGCCTAACTGCAGGATAAGCTCCCCCTATGGAGGCCATTCCAGAAAACACCCAACCTGGTCATAGCACCTGAGCCAGGAAGTGGTTGAGCAAGGCCCTGAGCGGTGACACCATACCTTAGTCATGTAGGGTGCTAATGTGGGCATGGGCGCACAGAACACACACAGGAACAGTCCAACCCCCGCGACCTTTATAACTGCTATAATTCTACAGTTCTACGCAACAGAAAATTAGAAAAAGAAGAAAATCTACTTTGCAGGGGCGGGAGGAGGGGGAGAAAGTAAGGGTCTCTTGTACGGTTCACATAAGCCAGTGGTTCTCAACCTTCCTAATGCCTCAACCCTTAAATAACAGTTCCTCATGTTGAGGGGTAACCACCCCAACCATAAAAAAAATTACTTTGTTGCTACTTCATAACTCTGTTTGCTACTGTTATGAGTAGGGCAAACCCTGTGCAAGGGTCGTTTGACCTCCAAAGGGGTCACGACTCACATGTTGAGAACCGCTGACGTAAGCAAGATGGTCAGGGCCTAGCACACAGACTGGCACCTGGGACTCGGGATGGCATCAGCTACAAAGTGACTGCTCAGACACTGACAATCAGGGCTGTGTGGAAATAGAGACCATTGCTCCCCACCCCCCAAACTGTCCTATCAAGTTCTGTACATAACCCAGAGGGCCCTCTCAGAAGCAGCAGAGCGAGTGCGTGCGCACCGTGCAGTTAAGGGACACAGGGAAGTGCTAGCAAAGTAGGGAGGGCCCCCCTCAAGACTCTAACCCTAACTAACCTCCACCACCTGGGCTGGTCAAAACCGCCATGGAGGCGGGGCAAGGTCCTCCTGACACCTCTTTATCTGAGAGCACCCACTGCGCTGCCCCCCCCCCATGATAACCCAACACCACCCCAGTAACCACCAACCACCACGGAGCGACAGCACCTACTGGGGACCAACACATGGAACTCCCACTGCTCTGGGGGATGGGTGCCAGAATGGGTCCCTTTTCACCCCGAAGAAACAGGCCACAGGGTAGTCAGGGAAACTGCTAGGGCCACGGAGCTGGAAAGTGGGGGCGCGGGGAGGGTTTGAACCCAGACAACCTGGCTCTCCCCAAGTCACAGCTCCTGGGCGGGCCCAAGGAACCTTGCTAAGGGAAGGTGGTCAGATTTCAAGAGGGACTTCCGGCAGCCTGCCCCGAAGCCACCTTTTCTGGGTCTTGACGGAATTTCAGCGACGGCCGGGACAGCAGATGGCCGTGGGGTGGGAGGAGCGAGGAGGAAAGCAGCAACGCTACAGCCCCTTCCTGGGAGGGGGTGTGTGTGTCCAAGATGGGGTGAGGCGCAGGGACGGGCAAACCAGAGAAATGGCTGGAGGCCTGAAACCCAGTTAGGACGGAGAGAGAAGACTGGAGGGGGGCACGTGGGCGAGAAGGATTAGGACTCACACACCAAGACCCGCCCCGCCCGCCGCACTCGGGTCGGGGTTCGGGGACCGGGCTCCCGGGACCTCACCTTTGCTACCTGCTCACCGAGCCCCCTACCATCCAGGGACGCGTGGCCCAGGGAGGCTCAGTCGTGTGCCCAACGCCACCCAGGGGTGTGATCGGAGGCTTCCGTGCCAGGAGCGGACCGACAACCTCTCCCGCAGCTTCCGGCTGGGCAGCACCGGGGTACCGAACGGCTGGGGAGTCCCGTCCGGACCCGGAAGTGCTTCTAGGACGCGGGGGGTGGGGGGAGGGCAGAGGGTTGACACGTGCGGGCTTGGGGGGAGGGGGGGGAGAAGCCGGGATCGGGACCCAGAGTCAGGGCAAGAGGGGTCCGAACGCCGGGACCGAGGATTCCTGCTCCCAGAAGGGAGGGGGCTGCACCCTCGGATCGGGTCACGGAGGAAGGGACCCGAAGCGCCTCCCGGCTGGGGCCGCACGGGGGCGGAGCGCGGAGGGATCCGGGCAGCCCGTGCTGCGCCACCCCCGGTATATCTGTCCCCAGTCCCCGGGGCCACCTCATTTCCCGTCTTCACACTACCACCTCCTCACGTTGCCGCGAAGCCGCCCGCCTCTGCCCGCACAGCCCCGGCCATGGCCCTGTAGCCGCGACCTCTCCGTGCCCCCCCCCCCCCCGCCGCCGGTCTCCGCGCTCACCGCGCCTGCGCCCTCCGCTCCCGCCTTCTTTCTTCAGCGGAGGCCGCCGCCGCCTCTCCTTGCCGCCGCCATGGAGTGAGTAACCGCTCGGCCGTCCCTCGTCAACCGCCTTTCCCGCCCTTTCCCAGCGCGCGAGCCAGACCGGAGATGTGGAGCCGCGAGTAGGGACTCTCGAGCGCGCAGGCGCGGAAGTCGAAAGAGGGAGCCCGTGCTGCGCACGCGAGCATGCGCACTCAGCCCGAGGTGGGGGCGGGAGGGCGTTTATTCGGCGCCTGCGCACTAACTCCCCGAGCGCCGTTGCTCCTGCGCAGTGGCTCGCCTGAAGCCAGAGTTTTCTACACGCAGGTTGGGCGGGCGGCCGCCGCGTGTGCGCACAGATCCTAAAGGGGATGGCGTTGGGGAAGCAAGAAAACAGTTTGCAACGCTAGGTGGCGCATCACGCACCTTCGCCCTCAGGAGAGAGCGGCGTGTGGAAGGGTGGGCGGTGGAGGCCGTTCCCCAAGAGACCCTCCCTTTTTGCTCCGTTTTCCGTACCGCGCGGGCGCGCAGCCCCGCTTCACCGCATTCCCATCAGGCATTACCGGGGCGGGGGCCTGGCTTAGATTGACAGGCCCGAAAGCGGGCCTTGGGCGGCTACTGGTTGATAGAGGGGGCGGCCAGAATCACAGCCGTCGAGAGGGGCGGGGCCAGCCGTGCTGAAATAGGCCTGGCTAATCGAAGGGTGGGGCTTCTCTGGGAGAAAGGCGGGGCCTCTAGGGACACCTCGGGAAGGGGTGGGGCTAGGACAATGGATGGGGGCGGGACTTGTGGCACGTGGGCAGGCGGGGCGGGGCAGGTGTTTCACGGCCTGATTTACGAGGGAAGAGGAGCCTGAACGCAGAAGAACAAACGAAAAAGAGGAATTCCCCTGGGAACTGATTTCAGATGGAGTGGGGGGAGCCTGGGGGAAAATACTCAGGATTGAAGCGTTTTAGTTTTTTTTGTTTTTTTTTAAATGATGAGGAATATTACTGGGGAGTGGGGTGGGGTGAACCTGAGACTCTTCTTGGGAGTGGGTGGGGCTCAGGGTTTAGGTTTCCAGAAAGATAGTAGTCCCTACACTATGTGGGGGTGCCCCTTCTGTCTGCCCTTGGCTGGTGGGTTGGGCTGGCTGCTGACCCTGCCCCCTTTGTCTCTCTGTGTAGGTCCTCTTTCACCTCGGTGTCCACCTGGGTCCACCTGAACCACCGCCAGAGCCGCCTCCCAGCCGTTGGTGTCAACTCCTTCGTTGCCGCCTGCACCCAGCGCCTCCGCCCCTACAGCCATGTCACTGTTGGCGACCCTGGGGCTGGACCTGGACAGGACCCTGCTCCCAGCTAGCGGGCTGGGCTGGCTCGTAGACTATGGGAAACTCCCCCTGGCCCCTGCCCCCCTGGGCCCCTATGAGGTCCTTGGGGGAGCCCTGGAGGGCGGGCTTCCAGGGGGAGGGGAGCCCCTGGCAGGTAAGGGACAGTGGAGAATGGACATAGGATGAATTAGGGAGGGGGAGGAGGGGCAGGAGACGTGTGAGAGTATGCCTTCATTCATTCTGTGAACACTTGGTGGTTGTTCCCAGCACTCCTTGTTAGGAGCTAGCCGAGAGCCAAGTTCAGGGACGGCATATTGAGATGTCGTGGGACGCAGAAAGTATCAAAGTGGGACCTAGTTTTAGGTAGCTAGGAAACCTCCAAGCAGGTGACATTCAGCTGTGGCCTAAAAAAAAAAAAAGGAAGGTACCAGCCAAGAAAAGGCCCACGGGAAAGAAGAAAAAAAGTGTATAAATACAATTTAAAAAAAAGAAAGATCCAGGGGAATAGCACTTCAGGTAGAAGGAACAGCGTGTGCAGAGACCCTGTGACAGGAATTGCTTTATTCGTAACTGTCTCCCCCATGCTTGGCACACAGGAGACATGTATTCAGGTATTAGAGAGGGGAACCTGCTGTTGTTGTTCATGGCTGAGGGCCTCTAAGAACAGGCTAAAGACTGGAGTCGAGAAACCACTCAAAGAGAACCTAGCTCCCTGTTGCCATAGAGTTGGTGCTGACTCATAAGCAGCGCTATAAAACAGAACTGCCCCAGGAGGGTTTTCAAGGCTGTAATCTTTCAGGAGCCGGCTGCCAACATCTTTCTCCCATGAGAGAAACCACAGGTGTAGGCTCCTTAATAAAGAAGATGTTGGGATGGTTGATGAAAAGGTTGGTGGGTGGTTGGCTGGCAGTCTTTTGTGGGCGCCGCTGGTGGGCTGGCCATTTGGTTGACTAGTTCATTGTCTGGTTAACTGATGGGGCACCACCGTTGGTCGGTCGGTCGGTTGACCAGGTGATGGGTTGGCCAGTGCTTGCTGGTTGGTTGACTGGTCTGGTTGAGTGATTTGGTTGAGAGCTTGACTGACTGCTTTGTTGATGGGTGGATTTCATCGGATGATTGGCTGCCAGGTGCGAATTGACGAATGAATTATGTGTGAATGAACGCATGAGCCTGCGTGCAGGAGCAGGAGGCGGGGGCCCAGGAACTCAGGGTGCTCTCGGTCCCCTCTTCCATCCCCTAGGTGACGGCTTCTCTGACTGGATGACTGAGCGGGTTGACTTCACAGCCCTCCTCCCTTTAGAACCCCCTCTCCCCTCCGGGGCCCTCCCCCCACCATCCCCGCCCCCACCGGACCTGGAAGCCATGGCCTCCCTCCTGAAGAAGGAGTTGGAGCAGATGGAAGACTTCTTCCTTGATGCCCCACTCCTCCCGCCCCCCTCCCCTCCTCCACCGCCCCCCCAGGCGCCTCCTCTCCCCCTACCCAGCTTTGACTTCCCCCAACCCCCGGCCCTGGATACCCTCGACTTGCTGGCCATCTATTGCCGCAGCGAGACGACGGGACAGGGGGATGCTGGGGGCTTGGCACCCCTGGCCCCACCCCAGCAGCCCCCTCCTCCCCCACCACCTCAGCCCTGTCGCCCAGCCCCCTACCCCAGCCCCGCGACCACCACCCGCGGGGACCGCAAGCAGAAGAAGAGAGACCAGAACAAGTCCGCAGCTCTGAGGTACCGCCAGAGGAAAAGAGCGGAGGGCGAGGCCCTGGAGGGGGAGTGCCAGGGGCTGGAGGCCCGCAACAGGGAGCTGAGGGAGAGGGCAGAGTCAGTGGAGCGGGAGATCCAGTATGTCAAGGACCTGCTCATCGAGGTGTACAAGGCCCGGAGCCAGAGGACGCGCAGCAGCTAGATGGGCAAGAGCCCGGGCCTCTAGGGCCCTGCCCTTCAGCTCTTGTTTTGGGGGCCGGGGTGGGAGCCCCCTCTACCACCAAGCCAGACCGCCCCCACCCTCTCTTCCCTTTTATCTTTTTTAAGTTCCATCCCCTCCACCATCCTCAGACCTGTGGCATGTTCGGCCTTTGGTCCCTGTCTGCATCCCCCCAAGTCTCAGCTGAGGTCCACCGGGAGCCCAGGGAGGAGAGCAGAGGTTGGAAACAGCCTCCAACATTGGTTGGTTTCCATGCAAATCGTAGGTGGTGGGGTGGCGTGGTCCTAGGATAGAACCTAGTGGTGGGGCCTGGGAAGCTGTGCAGAATTACTAGGCGAATGAGAACAAAAACCGAGGGAGGTAAGTCAGGAGGGGGGGTGTCTCAAGACTGAGACCCATTGGGGAAAGAAAGAGAAAAGCAAGCCAAGAGACTTGGCTGCCTTTGAGGAGGGAGTTAAGAGGTGGCCACGATCACAGAGTGGGTAGATGTACAGGCAGTGGGGGAGGAAAGGGGCCAAGGGCAGCGGGTGCCCTTAGTTGGTAGCTGAGTGTACAGTTTAGCTCTGGGTGGACATCAGTGTTTCGTGAAGGTGTTGGGGGGCAGGGCTGCCATCTGGGTGAAGGAGGGTGGTGGGGATTGATGCTTTGCGGGGAGGCAGGTTGTGAACCGAAATAAAATAAAGACATTCCCCTTGGTCTCCTGTGTCTTATCTGTGAGAGGAGAAGTCGGGGAGTGGTCCAGGACTGCTCTAAGGAGCCACTTGTAGAGTCAGACAACTTATAATATACATAGGCAGCCAGAGAAAGGGTAGCCAAAGATGCTCGCTTCCCATGGTCCTTGTCTCAAACACCAAAAAGGATGCCCGCCTTCCAAGACGAGCTGATGCTTACACGTTGGGGGGCCACTTGTTGAAGACCCCTTTTTCTCCCGCAAACCTCTTAGAAATAGAGACCTAGATAGGCTCGAAGTCACTCATCCAACCTCCAACACTCACTGCCATCCAATCATGCTGACTCATAGCGACCCCCTGTGGGTTTCCAAGACTGTAACCGTTTACAAGAGGAGAAAGCCCAGTCTTTCTCCTGAGGAGCTGCTGTTGGTTTCGAACCTCCAATTCTTAACCACACCCACCAGCCACTCCTGTCCTGAAAAGAACACCTAACTGGATCTACCTGGCTTGGAGAACGCTTAGTGAAAGAGAGTTTGAGCAACACAAGTGTTCGCTCTCTTCCCTTCCTCCACGGAGCATAGAAATGGAACGTGTATTGAGAGAATCGACCCAAATAACCAGTCGACCTGTCAACGAAGCACGTCAGTACACCAACCAATGAATGAAGCAGCCAATGCACCACTGAGTTAATCCAACCAGCCAACTAAGGAATGAGCCAATCCACCAAATAACGAAGGGGCAGTTCTATGAACAGTTCATTTGCAATGAAAATATAAAACCATACATGCAGTAGGCAAAGAGGTCCATGCCTTAACTCCTGGAATCTGGATGTAGGTGTTCACGTGGCAAAAGGCACTTGACAGATGTGATTCATGACAGATCTACAGATGGGAAAGATCTCTTGGCTCTGTGTGGGCCTAATGTAGGTACGGCAGGGTCTTTATAAGGCCAGGAGGGATTGGGAGAGACCTCACTATTGACTGAGGACAGACAAACGGGTCATGAACCAACAAAGCCCCTGTGGAGAGTTGGGTGTCCTCTAGAAGATGTAAACTGATTTCCTCATAGATCCCCCGAGAACAATGTCTTGCCAGCACCTTGGTTTCCCGTTTCAAGGCGCCCTGGTGGCACAGCGGCTTGTTGGGCCGCTTAACCCCAAGGCCAGCACTTCAAACCCACCAGCTGCTCTGAAGGAGAAAGACAAGGACGGCCGTTGGCGCCCATGAGGATTAGCCAGTGTGAGAAACCCAAAGAGGCAGGTGGGCTCTGCCCCCTAGCCATCGCGATGAGTCCGTCACAATTGCCTGGGTGGTTGTGGGTAAGGCTCACTTGAGTAGCTCTGGTGGCTCAGTCCTGAAAAGCCATGGTTCAAGCCAACCAGCTGCAGTAGCTTCCAGAAAAATCCACAGCCTGGGAAACCTAATAGGGCAGTGCTACTCCCCACACATGGGGGCGCCTTGAGCCCCAACGCCTCAATGAACAACTGATGCTCTTTGGTGAAACGATGAGAAATCATTTCTTACTGCATGTCTTGGTCAGCAACATTTGAAAGCTACAGGTAAACAGCCCTTCGCGTGCTGACATTGCTCTCTTAGCAACTGTGGGGTCTGTTAGCCCTGGTGTTAGAGTGGTTAAGAGTTCAAAACCACCAGCCAGCTCCTCGGGAGAAAGATGAGACTCTCTCTACTTCCCGTCCCATAGAGTTACAATTTCAGAAAACCACAGAGGCAGTTCTACCTTGCCCAATAGGGTCGCTATGAGTCAGAATTTACTTGATAAGTGTGTATGTGTGTTTCCTTTAAAAAAATATATGCGATTGGGTTGATTCTGACTCTGATTTTAAAAAAATTAATTGGAGTGTTGGTTTGTTTATCTCTCATATTAAGTCTTTGTGGGCGCAGAAAGCCTCATCTTTCTCCTGAAGGGCAACTGGCAGATTCAAACTGCTGACCTTGCGGTTGGTAGCCCAACACCTGACTCACTTCATCACCATGGCTGCTGGTTGCTCCGGGATCAAACGCTTCTGGGATCGCCCACAGCACTGTCATAGCAGAATTCTACCTCCAGGTGGCCTCCGTGCACCACCCTGAAAAGGTTTGGCTGCGTCCTGGACCCAGATTGGCGATTTTCCCATCACCCGTTGCTAGGTGAATGCTAGGCTCTTGTTTGCTGGCAGGAGAGGCTCGGAGGACAAGAAGGGGCTTTGTTAAGTGCAGTCCCCCCTGCCCCACTCCCTCCGCCTCTCATCCCACAACTGTTACCCTTTAATGTATGCGGTGGGCCAGACCAGTCCCCTAGAGCTCACTATTCATAGAGCACTTAGAAAAGGGTCTTAGCGTAGCTTTGTTGGATCGCCTGTTAAAAAATTCCCATTTTATGGGCCAGAGGGGGTGTGTGTGTCTTACTAATTGACTCCTTTGCCCTGAGACCAGAAGCGCTGGATGGTGCCCGGCTCCCATTTCTAGACTTTAAAGGGATTTAGAAAATGTTCATACTTGATTTTATTTCTGGCATTCGGACCTTGGCCCTAGCTGCACCTACTGGACAGTGATCCGAATGCCCTGCTTGGAATTGTGCGACCCTGTGCACCCTCGTTTGTTGTCATTTCTCCCTCGGTCACACAGACGCCCTGCCCCCTAGACTTCCTATCAAACCCTCCGTGCCTCTCGAACCTTTCGTTTTGTTTTGGTTATCCCTCCCGGCGTTTGAAATGAACTTGCCTGCCACGAAACTTCATCCAAGCCCATTCCCGGTTGACTTTGCCTCCTTATTTATTTATTAGCCACTCAGGTTTAGATCTGAGGGGTAATGAGTCGGAGGGTTTTTAAGGCTGTAAACCTTCACTCTCTTTTTCTAAATGTTCGCTGTGTTGGCTTTTAAAGAAAACCATATTCTGTACAGCTCAAATCAGCCAACAGTATCTGGTTAACATCCCCCTAAAAGGCAGTTGTTTTGTTTTTTCCTCTCCCATCCACCCTCCCTTCCTTATTTCCTGCCTCTCCCCTTTACCTGACACCCCCCCCACTCCACTATCTCCCCTTTA